AAAAGTGAATAAAAACCTGTAAAGAAATTGTGACACCGTTGGAAGAAATAGTCTTTAAAAATATCACTATTAATCCAGCAAAATTATTATTTTTCTTAAGGCCCATATTTCTTTACAGTTACCTCTGCTCCTTTAAAGTCCTTCGAAGAACAGTCTTTTCTCTATCCCATTCAAATTAAATAAACTCTTTTGCTTTGCCTCTCTTTGCCTTCATAGACAGGCCAGTCTGTCTTGCCCTGTTCTACTGATTATCTGTTCAGAGACGGTTTTCCTTTCACAAACTGGCAAAGTTGTGGGAACAGATAGAGAAAGACATCTAGGGATAGTGTGAGAAAGCCAAGATACTTTTAGAAAGGTCAGCAAAAATACTGTCTTCCTGTTCACTGGTATAAGTAGACTTTTTTCTAAAATCTAGTTTTTTTGAAAAGTGCTTGGTGTTTCTGTGCACCTTTGATAAATAAGCCTTAACTCTGAGTACTGGTTATTTAAAGGATTTACAATCCTTCTACAAGATGAATGATTTTATAGGTGAGGAAGCAGAGACTGTAGGCAATAGATCAGTGATAGAAATAGAAAAGAACTGAGAAGACTGTCTCCTGCACTTATCTGGGGTTTTATTTCTTTGGTTTTGTCCTTATGTGGCAAAAAAAAAGACATTTATGTCCCCCAGCCTCAGAAACTACCTGATTCTCCCAACTTTATGTAAAAATGCTGATTCTGAAAAATGAAAAAACCTAATTCATAATCCCCCATCCTTACATTTTTTTCTTTTTTTTTTTCCTTTTTTTTTTTTTTAATTCTTGGATATCCCAACTCTGTTTCTAGTGAAGCAAATTGTTCCAGTACAACAAATGTGTTCTCAGAGAAATACTGCAAAACTTATTTTTAAAAGCACTCAGCACTCAGCCATAGTAATGATGAATTTTCTTCTCTTATCATTTGATCCAGGAGATTCTCACTGCATGTCAGGGCTTATGGAGGCAGGAAATTAGCTGCTACCCATGGCCTCTGCAGGCCATCTGTTTGTCTACTGCTGTGATGGCTCTTTGGGCTTCCTCCTCCTCTTTTGCCTCCCAGGAAAAAATAGATTTAGCACTTCCCTTGATGACTGACTCCAGTTTTAAAATCAATTAAATGGCAAACCACAATATCTCTCTATCTTTGAGCTCAGCTGAAGGCACTCAAAGTTCTGGGCACTGCCACTGGCTCATAGGGGAACTGCCCAGATGCAGACTTATCGCAATTTACTGGCGATGAGGAGACCAGCTATTTACAGCACCCTTGAGAGTCATGGTGAGAAACTCTGTGTCACTGAGGTCCATGAGAGTCCTGCATACATGATAAAAGTTTACCCACAGAGGGTAGGTGGCCAAATAAAGGCCCTTCCACCTTGACACTCATCCCACAGAGTGTGTCCGTCCCTGAGATGATGCCGGCTGGCAAGTGTTCCACATTTATACACTGCTGGTTTGTGGCAGCAGTGAGATGGTAGAGACTCGAGAGCACCCCCTGAAGCAGTGCTGCTGCCAGGGTGACTGCTTGCAGGCTGCAAACTCTGCTTGGTGCCAGCAAATTGTCAGCCTGCTGCCACCCCGTTCCCGGCAAGCACTGCCAAAATGGTACACAGGAATGCTTGTTTTCATGACGCTTCTATGAATCTCTTAATAGACCCAAACTGAAATAGAGCACAAATTTCCAGGTCTGTATTAAGTCCAGTGCAGATAAATTGCTGATGTTTGTGAAGTGCTTTTAGTCTGTGGCTTAAGTGGTACCCTAACCAGGCCAAGTGCTTTGAAGCCTTCTAACATCACACCAGATTTGTTTATTCATTTTCAAGTTGTGTTCTATTTTAAAACACACTAGTGAATTTTGGTGAAATCTATGTGGTAACCCAATCCCCTTTCTCAGTACATGTTTAACAAGCTAAAGAAAGCTAGTTTAATGCTGTATTCATTTATTTATTGTTTTAGAAAACAACTGCATGTATTTTTTTAAAATGTGCAGTTCCAGCCCCTTTCTACATGGACCTCTCTCATTGAACCATCTAATTCTGTTGCAAACATGAGATAGCTGTGTAATTTACTATAAATAAAAACTGATTTGGAAACTTATTCACCTTGATAATGTCAGGTAACCACATAGCCTGAGGAATTCAGCACCTTTTTAAAAACAAACAAAAACCCATGCCAAGGTGACAGAAATGATGGAGAAGTCAAATGTGATGGTTAACACTCCCCAGAAAATGAACTTTTCTGTAGATGTTACCCCTTGGCTGGGAACAGTAAAATAAAAAGCTCAGTGAGATGTACTTTTGCAAAGATGCAGCTGAGATGCTTCCACAGATCCAGCACCATGCACAAAAGCGGCAGAGCTGCAAAGCCCTGACTTCAGCAGCAGCTCCATGTGCCAAAGCTTGCAAGATTCAGTGATTTTCCTCCCACCAGAAAATGTTATTTTGTGGTTTGTAATTCAGCTCCTGGAGATACAGCAGTATATCCAGGTGCTGCTAAAAATGTGGTCCTTCATTTATTTCTGGCAGGTTGAAATAGTAAAGAATAGTAAAAGTGTGGGTTTTTTCCCCTTCCAGATGCAATCTGCCACCCATGAATTAAAAGAATAGGGTTTTTTAAACCTGATGTTTAGTTTAGGATAATGTTGAATTTCCATCAGGCCTTGGACAGCTTGGTGAAAGCTTTCATAAAAATAGGAATTATCGGGGGATTCCTTGCATCAGAGGGCTAATGGGTGGTTGAAAACTTGACATAAGAAGTAAACTATAAATATGAAATTTTGGTCACAGCCCTAGTGATTTTTGGCAAAACTTCCTGTTGCTTAGGAGCTGGATAGTTTGCATCTGTTTTACTCATGTCCTTTCAGAATTACTTGACAAAGCTGCTTATTTCTCCTTGTAGAGCAAACAAGTCTCACTGACACAACTTCAGTTTTTTATATTGCCTGAACATGTAGAGATCCCTCTTTCCACCCAACTGCCAGTCCATGACTGCTAAGAAGAAATAAATGCATTCTGCCAAAACTTTTCAGTGGATTCAGCTTGGTGATGTTTGCAGGTAACTAGACACCAAATCACTTCAAAGACAGAAATGCATTCTTTCAAGCACTGTTTCTCAAAGCTTTTGAAGGTACCGTTAATTTCTTCTGATTGATCCCTGAAGACCTGGATAGTGGTTACAATTTCAGGATATTTTTTTATTTCTAACACTTCAGAACCTTCTTTGAATCCCACTCTGATCCTCAGTTTGAAAAAATAATACTTTAAAAAACAGTTTCTGGTGGGCAGCTTTCACTAGAGATCACTGTGATCAAGAAATAACTTACTGACAATAATTTATTAGTTTTTGAATTTCTCAAACCTTTTCCTCTGAGCAATTTAAAGCACTTAGCATCACAATGACTGCAATATATCATTTTTAAGCTGTTATTCTTTAAACTGAACGAGAATGTAGAATTCAGTAAGCCGTGAGAGATTTAATTTTTGGTTTATTGAGATAGGACTGTTGTCTGCACGAAAGCTTTGTGTTGCAACCATTAAATTCCTGAGGGGAACAGTAATTTGCGATTCTATTCATTTGTAAAACAGAAACAAATGTCAAGTCTTGTACAGCAAAAAGGGCACAGGGCCTTCATAATAGGGGAAAAATAATAAACCTTGCAGCTTGCTAATAACTTTATTTGTGTGCTTAAACAAGGCAAAAAGGATGCTTTTGCATGCAGTGTCCCTGTAAGAAGTTAATGAACTTGCACTACACTGATAGAGAACACTTTATACGCATCTTGTTAAGTTCCTAAAATGATGTAATAGTACCAGAGATGTGGAGTACTAAAACTAACAACACTAATAGAACATTATCCTGAACATCCCCCTGTGCAGCACAATGCAGGTGACACATAACTCACTGCTGAATATATATTGATAGTAGCAGATAAAAGAATGTATTGGAGTTCAGGTTGTTCTGAGATTTATTTTCCCAAGATAAGGTTTCTGATATCTGCCATCTGTTCATCTTGTCAGGTAAAAATACCAGTATGATCCTGGATACTTTGCTTTTGTCAAAGGGCTACCTGGGTTCTGTAATAGAAGATATTAAAATTTGCTTTTGCTGTGCAAGTTTATGGCATTCTCTATTTCCTTAGTCAGACCTCTTAGAGAAAGAACATTAACAAACAAATAGATATTTAACTGTATGATCTGCATTAGAACCTGCAAAGAAATGTTAGGAAGGAGACAGAAATACATGGTTGAAGAAAAAGGAATTTCCCAGACCTTTACTTTGTGAAGGCCTCAACTTGCGCTTCTTGGCCCAGATCTGTTCTGGTGCAGAGCACTTAAATATACACTAACTTAAGAAATACTAAGAAATTTGACCATGGCAAAATTTTTATGTCAGGCAACTGTTGGACATGTTTTTTGAGATATCTGAGCCAGCTTCTTGAAAGTGCCAGACCCAGCTGAGCTAAGTGGGAGCAGTGTAAGAGACATGTGGATGCTTTTTTGATGATTGGTGTCCCTACCTGGTCACCCAAAAACTGAGACACAATATACGTTCAAAAGTGAGGACAAAAAACTTACCTAAGTGTATGTATAGTGAGAGTAAGAACGTACAAATTTTTCCCCTGAATTTTTAAGGTCTGTATTCCAGCCATCTTATTCTCTAGCAGATGATGTCTGGGTTATCCAAAAGCAGAAAACTGATTGCACACTAAATGATTTGCAGAGTGAAACACAAGCACAATTGATTTCAAGGGCAAAATTCCCACGGACTTGTGTGGGCAGAAATGTGCCCCACGCTTTCGACTGAGTGTGTTCCTGCTTCTCTATTCTGCTGTCTTAGGTAACAGTTTGTTCCAGCTTTAAATGACCATAGAGAAGCTTTGTATAGCAAATCTGAAGGTTGACTACGGCTTGCAACTTTAACTCTATGAATTTCCATTCTTTCAGCCGTGCTATTAGCATACGATGCCTAAAGAATCAAATAACCTACCTAGCGTTGGATCGTACTCCCAGATGAACCGTTTGGTCAGGAAGCGCACAACAAGAGCTGGAGAGACAAAGATTTCAGGTCAGAAACACAAGACATCAACTCAACAGAATTTTATTTTTTTTTTTAAGATTTCCCAGCAATTTTCCATGTAAAGGGACATGAAGCAGCTTCCCTGAACCATCAGCAGAATTCAGTGTCGGTTATTGTAGCAATTGAGAACTTTTCACTGTTTGTGGCCCACCTTACACTTTAGGAGGGGGGAAACAAAATTAAAATAAAACCAAAACTCTTTATAGCATTCATCATTTACCCATGTAACAATGCATGACAAAGAACATCAGAAGGTTTTGATGGTACTCTCTAATTTTTTCCACCTTTTTTTTTTTGGTCACAGTAGCTTCTACAATTAAGGAACCAAAACAACCCCATTTACAATTCTATGAGCAGATGACCTTTGGGAAAAAAACATTACTTTGGATGCTTTAGGTTTTCTATAAGCAGTAGAAAAAGAGCTGCCAGTCTTTGAACCAGGATGCTTCAAAATGAGGGTTGTTCAAAATTTCATTCTTGAAAACTTCCTCTTCAGATTGTAAATCAGGCAGAAATAATTGGTTAAATATCTTCCTTCTCTATTTTGGCATGCCTTCCTTGTAACAATTTACCTTCTATGTTTTGCTTACTTGTCACTTAAAACAAAGAGCTATAATATTTTAAACCAATGGTCAACAAATGCTATTAATCAACTTGCAGAAATAGAGAAAAAAGTTTAGATTTTGGAGCACTGGACAGCTAGTTCCTAGTTTCAGTTTATAGGCTAAGATTTTGCTACTTATGTTCTTATATTTATTTTTTTTTTCTGTCCTTCCACCCTTTTTAAAAACAATTTACATGGACTTTGATTATGTTCAAATGTAAAACTAAGCAGTGCTTTGAATTTCTAGTGAAATTCCAGTTAATTTCATTTCTAGTAAATGAATCATTTACTACTGCCAACTATTCAAAATCCTTTCTGCATTTCCAAGACGAAGCCAGTGATATCACTGCACTAGCTATGATTGCAGCCATTACAGCTGTAGAAAAAGTTTTCCTCGTCATCAGCCCTGGAGGACTGTTCACTCTTTTGGTTGTAGATGGACAGTAAAACGTGACAGCTAAACTCAGTTTTAATCCTTTTCAAAATTAAAGCTGTGAGAATACCCTATATCCCAGATTTCTGTGCCCAAGACTAGGAGAAGGCAACAGTCTGAAGAATAAATCTAATGACTTAAGATTGGCTTAATCAGACAAACAGAACATTAGTTTTCAGAAGATTAACTATGCCTCCTACTTGGAGGGGTAAGAAGAAGCTGATCCTAAGGAAATGAGATCACCACACAAGAGGCAATTTGAAATTGGTGTTATTTTAAGTTTCTATTTTCCTTAGGAAATACTTTTTTTTTTTTTTTTAACTCCTTGGCAGAAATGCTCTCCTTGTCCCTCAGAGTAGATGTGGCAATTCTTAGTTGAAGTACTTTTTCAAGTCATAGCCCTTAACACGAATGCCATTACAATACAAGATGACCTCTGTGTAGCTTATTTTCCATCTATGATGATGTCGCACCAGGACTTTTTTTCCCCGCACTTCTTATCTTAGATTGAATAGTTTAAACATTGCGATGTTTTGAAAATTGGTTCCTGATTCTTCTCTAATTGCTAGTTGTAGTTTCTTTCTCACCATTAAAAAATGCTTTCTTCTTTCACAGCCATGCTGTGAGGGAGAAGCAGTGATGTGTGTACCTGTGTTGCAGGGCCTGAGCCTGTGCCTGGACTTGGGAGTAGCTACTGAAGTGAGGAAAGGCAGAAGAGAGTGGGGAACCTGTCCAGCTATTTTTATATTTACACATGGTCCACTTAGTTGTGATAACCTTATGCTTACAGATGGAAATTGTTGGAGTGGAGGGTAAAATGCTGAACAGGACTGGAAAAAAGTCTCTCGTGCACTAATGTCTAGAGCAAGTGATAGAGAGCAGCAGCTCTGAAGGAGAAGAGGGAGAAGTGCTGATTTTGGAGGTAGCCCAAAAGAAGGAAGTGAGAAGGTGACAAGCAATGAGCAGGAAAAGTAGAACTGGACTGCAGCTGCTGAGATGAGCCTGGGAGGAGAAAGGTACAGGTATGTACAGAGGATGAAATGGTACAGGTGTGGAGTGCTGCAAAGGTGAAGAATTAAAGATCACAGATATAACATTTGGTAAGGGAAAAAACAGGTTGTATTTGTCTCCAGCACATAGAGATATATTATAAATAATCACATATGCAGGAGAGAGCTGAAGTAAAGAAATGAAGGATGGGAGGTGGCTGCCATGCACAGGGCCAGATGGCAATTAAGTCTCCCCGCTGGCAGGTCTCAGCAGGGAGCACAAAAAGCTCAGTGAGCTTGCTGGGCACTGCCAGTAATAAAGTACTTGCATAAGGCTTGCTTGGGCCTGGTGAAGGGAAGAAGAAAACACCTCAGTACAATCCCAGGTGAGTGGGAAGTGTCAGCTTCAGAGTCATGTTCTCTGTTCCAGTTTTGGGGGTGTGCACCTCAGGGCTGTGCAGAGCTGCTGCTCCTGCGGGGCTGGCTCTGCTCAGTCTCCCCTCTTCTGACCCAGCCAATTACTTCAAAATACTTCTACTCTCTTTCATGGCAATGATCACAGCCCATCCTATACAGCTTTTCACTTCCACACAGTTTTATGAGGCTAAATATTAGCACCTAGCTGCATTTCACAGCTAGCTGCTGATGGGGAACGTGAGATATTCTTGATCTGGAGTCTCTTCAGTTTATAAATATTGCAATCTATGTTGGGCAGGAAATCACTTTTGCCTTGTTTGGGGTGCTTAGCAGATGGGCCTCTGACCTCCAGTTGAGCATTAAAACAATGTAGGTGACTGCTGCCTGATTTGACTGAAAATAGTCAGTGACAGGAGAGCTGGGAAGGGCATCCAAGTGCTTGGGCTGTCACTCTGGAGACCAGCTTGCTGGCTCACGCTGCCTGCCCTAGCAATGATCCCTGAGAGCAGTGGTATTACTCTGGAGCCATGTTGTTTATGTTGAGCTCACATACTGCCAGATTACATCACTTTTCAGTAAAATAACTCTGCCAACAGAAGAATCAGAAGTGAGGACATTAGCAATTCACTACACTTAGAGCTGTAGTGCTCAAATTTCTGCTGCTGGTATAAATGATGCTTCAGGCAAAGCAGTAAAACTTTCCCCTGCCCTTAGCAATGCTGAATAGAAAGAGCTGAGATGGGCATTACTTCCTTCTTACCTTAGAAAATTTGGGTGTACCCTGTGACATGTTAGCCTTATTTAATATAAGGCTAATACTAATACTGAGCCAAAAATAGCCCAACTGACTAAAAAAAAAATAATCCAAATGCTAGGTTTTGATTCAAAATAACATTGAGGTTGAGACTGTCTGAAACACATTACTTTCTGACTAAATTAACTTGCTAATTCCAATATTCATATTAAAATAGCCATTTCCAGTGTTTATCCTCAAATGTATTTTGAAGCAACCAAGACTAGGATTGATGCAGTAGTTAATAGGAATGAATTTCGTAGCCCTCCACCTAGACTAGTCCAGGCTCTTCCCCAAACACTTACGGCTTGTGAAATACAAGAATTTTCAGGCTTAGAAGGAAAGAATCTCCAACAAACTGCATTTTGGATTCCCACTGTGTTTTTCAGAGACATGACCATTACCTATGGGAATTGATGTAATGTCCCAGCAAAGGAAGAATAGACTCATGTCTCTTTTTGCCTTTCCTTACACTCTCGTTTCCAAGTCAGCTGTTTTGTACATGGTATAAATTAGGGTAGAACTTGGCACAGGACTTCCATTCACTCATGTTTAAACCTTCTGCCTTAGAAGTTATTCTTGGAGAAGAAACATGACTATCTGTCAAATATATCTGAAGTGCAACTCCACTGAAGACAATGAATTTATATCAGAAATTAACTTGGCATATAAACTGAGATTACCAACCACGCAATTAATCAATTTCTTTCAAACTTGTGTGGCTGAGGCTCTTATTCAGCTTTCAAAAATCTCTGTCCATATCTTTTGGAACTTTTTTTCGGTGTGTGTGATATTTTGCATCTTGCTTTAGTTCTTTGTTTGGATTTAGTAACATAAATGCTCTTGCTAAATTTACAATCTGCCTGAATACATGTCTTCACAAATTTGGTATTGTTCCAGCTAATGCAAGCTGAGGTTTTGGGGAAGAAGAGAAGCAGTGTTTTATTTGAAAAACATCCCCCTTCCCAAAAAGCTACAGAGTTCAAAGTTATTCTAAGAAAATAACAGTTCAGCAGTGAAATGATGACTCTTTTATGCCACGAGAATTTTTAGCTGTAAAAAACTCTAAAGGTAGTCTCATTATTTAACTTATGAACAAATCCATTCCTGGTGCCATGATGATATGTCATAAGTAAACCATACTTGACAGAAGACACCAGACTGGTTAAAACCAAAGGTTATAAGGATCAAAAGGCACTTCACAAATGAAATATTTAGGGTTTTAAAGTACATATTTTTGTTAGAGTTCATCCCCCATTACCCTTTCATATTTTGGAATTTCAGTCGACTTGGAGCATCATGTGGTAAGTTCCAGCCTGCAGGATGGCAGTGCCTCTGGACTCTGGCATGCAATGTACTGCCTCCTTATGCAGTTCTGTGTCCAGTTTTAGGAAGAAATGGTTTGTTTTAAAAATAAAACCATAAGAACTTAATTTGCTCCTGAAAATGCAGATCACTTGGGGGTGTCTCTCTGTGTGTGTGTGTGTGTCGTTAAAACATGAAATTATAATACAGACTCCTTTTCTGATCCTGGTAAGTGATGGATATAAACATGCAGTTGTTACTTCTGCCTCTCCGTCTGTGGGCCTGGTTTGACTCAGCTTTGACAGTATCTCTGGCAATTCACTGATGTGGGTATATGACAGGAGAGTGAGACATTAACAGGAGGATTTCTCTGTGTTCTCTTCCTGTCTTGGACCTCACTGGTGGTCACTTCTGATGTTCAGATCT